GAAATACAGGCAAAGAAGTAAAATTGCAGACTGAAAAAGTGGATTTATGAAACTGTAATGCGACTCATTCTCACGTATGCTTCCCCACCCTGGGCAAACTACAAAGCAAACGAAATTAGCAAACTCCAAGTGCTTCAAAATAAGGTGCTAAGAATCATCACAAAAGCTCCTTACTATGTTTGGAATAGGACCCTCCACTCCGACTTGAAAATAGATACCAATCAGGACTGCCTCAGCAGAATTAACAACTTTTTTAATAATATGATCAATGTGAATCCCGCTAATTTCACGGACATTCTTATCTACAAAATCCTGGCTGAAGACAAAAAACCTCCGCCCATTTGCCGCCCACCTCTTGAGTTCAGAATTCTAAGTTCCAGTTTTCTGGTTTTCAAACAGCATCGATCGGGGTCAGTTTCTGGGAGATTGACCTCCCACGTGACTGGCTCCGACGAATGAACAGTTAGTATTCGGGCTATCCTGCACAGGTCATCCGAAGTTTTTTTCTCCGGCCCCTGCTTGGCGGATTCCATCCAAGATGTAGCAGTACTGGAGCAAAGTGCTTCTTTTTCTCTTTCTCTCTCTCCAGCACACTTCTACCTCCATGAGAGAAAATTTCTTTCAGGTTTCTACTCTGTCAGTCCCCACATGGAATCACATTAGGAACTGGCAAGAGCAGGACTTTAATTTCCTGCTGAAAGCCAGTATAACCGCAAAGTTCCAAAGTTCCAGTTCGCAGGCGCTTTATAAGTATTTCAGTGCAATAACCGAATAGTTATCACACAAAGGTCGCATTTGGATGATTTTTACGTGGTAGAATTATCGGCCGTCTGGAATGCAGGTGTACCCAACTGGAAGTATCGGACGAACTTGGAATTGCCCAGAGTGTCATTTCCAGGCTTTGACAACGATTCCAAGATGATGATGAGTAGACGTTACAGCACACGTCGCCCCAGAGTTACAACGCCGAATGAGGACCGGTATTTGGCAGTTACTGCCAAAAGAAAGAGGCGGAGCACAGCCTCAGACCTGTCTCGTCAGCTCTCTTCAGCCATTGGTACGACAGTTTCAAGGCAGACCGTGTACAGACGCTTAGGGCAGATTGGTCTATATGCTCGTAGACTGTCAGATGCGTTCCACTTACTGCAACTCACTGTCGCCTGCGGTTAGCCTGGAGTAGAGAGCTTGCATTGTGGACACCGCAACAGTGGGCTTGTGTGATGTTTTCCGACGACTCCAGGTTTAGCTTGCAGTCTGATTCTCGCCGATCTTTCATATGGAGAGCTCCAGTTACCCGTTACCACCAAGAAAACATCATTGAACGACACCGTTACGGTGTTGCAGGCGTGCTCGTTTGGGGGTGGAATTATTCTGGGTTCCAGAACTGACATGCATGTTCAAATTGGAACCATGACAAACCAAATCTATCGGGACGTCATTCTGGAACAACATGTACGTTTGCTTCGGGGCGCCATGGGCGCACAATTTGTGTTTATGGATGACAAGGCCCGTCCTCACCGTGCAAACATCGTAAGCGAATGCTTTCAATCGGAAGATATCACCTGTATGGGCTGGCCAGCATTCTCACCGGACTTGAATCTAGTAGAGTACGTGTGGGACATGCTTGGCCGACGAGTTGCAGCCCGTCAACCTCCTCCTACATGTCTACCGTAACTTCGGAGAGCATTGCTTTTTCAGTGGTGTAATATCCTCCAAGATTAGATCGATAATTTGATACTCAGCATGCCTAGGCGTTGTACGGACTGAATTGCATCGTCTGGGAGACATACAATGTATTAAGAATCATACCAACCATGTAATATTGCTTTTTTTTGTAATTTTTTTTTGTTGTTATTTGCTCCAGGGAGAAAAAAATCGCTAATTTTTTAATAATATCAAACATATAGCATCTTTTTTTTTTTCCTCTTTACTTTTGTTTCATAAATAAGTTTTACAAATAAATCAAATTTGTTTTGCTTCTAGCTCTTCCTTTGCCTGATTTTGCATTATCCTTAATTTATGGACATGAGTGTATATTTCTACTTAGAACACAATCGGCGGTAATTCGGCATGAGCAATCATGAACTATTTTCGCAGACTTTTCGCCATTGACATAACGACTGGTCCATTGTGTTAAGTGCTCTTCAGCCAGTTGGATGCCGTCGATAGAATATTTAAAAAAAAGAGGGGGGAAGATAACTAGAGCTAACTATTGTGTCTTCCAGGAATTGACTTCGTAAAGTAAGGAAGGAATAGTGAATGAAGAACCAGAAAGGGCCATGTTGGGGCCATGGAACGTAAATACCATAAACTTGCAATTCTGTCAAAAACTCAACGTTTCAAGCAGATACTTGTATCCCAATAGTGAAAGAAATATAAACTTCTAGTTCCAGTTGCCGCATCTAGCTTGCCAAGTATGCATGCTGTATACCGGCTATCGTAACGTATGTGCTTCAAGGAGCGATGCAAGTACAAAAATGCTTGAGTGGGTTCAGAGAGCAGGATGAATGTTGCTGACTCCTTTGCCACGTGAGGGATGTGAAAAACACATTTTACAGAATTAAACAGTACAGTTTCTCTAGAAAATATACCACTTTTTACGTAATATTTAAAAGTATATGCCATGCTAAAATAGCAGAAAGTCCTAGAAAAATTAGGAAAATTAAATTCAAATCACTTTTTAAATACTATAACAGTTTGCCTCTTACCGTAAATCTATGAATTCGTTGGCGAGAGGAGTGATGTCTTCTATAACAGTATTTTACAAAACAACAACAACAAAAAAAAAACAAAAAAAAAAATCGGATATTACGTTCTTAGTTATTAAAACCTTTTAGAAACAAATCAAATAAGGAGTAATGGCATTCGCAACATCAATGTTGTGCTTGCAATGTAATTACAGAAAATGTAATGTAGAATTCTTAGCTTCAAATAGAAATCTTGTTTTCCACTATGAATTATATATGTATTTTTTTATTGTTACAGTTCTTGATTGCATGCAGTGATATAAGTCTGCATTACAGAGTAGAATTAAATTATACTTTGGAAGAACAGATCACAATTAGAACGTGGATTCGAGAAAAATTTCACACCAGAAATTCTCATAGAGGCACTCAAAATAGTTTTACTATGTGATGTATGTGATCACTATGTGTCAACCTGCTCTCACTTTAACCAACAGTTTTGCCATAGATAAGGAAGCTTTATGAAGCAGAGTTAACTTTAAGAAGATCCCCCTTCAAAAAGAACGTCAACAAAACAAGCGAATTTTATCTTTTTCAAAAAGATCATCAACAAGACAAGCAACTTTTACTGAGGTTGTTGCATGAATAGTTACTTAAGAAGTCTCTGTATATGCTAGAAAAGAGGCAAAGAGCTTTACTCGCAATAATAAGAAAACATGACTAAACAATTAGATTTTTAAACTTCCGTTCAGAGTTGAACTTAGTGACATATGTTTAGAAAAAGGATATAAAACTTGTGGGATGCATATAGCTATCCTGAAATAATTATGTCCTGTTAAATTATTTCATTTTGCTTATACTTCATTCACGCATTATTAAAAATTAAAAATGACAGTCATTAAGCAAGTCACAAATTGGCATGATATATTTGAAAACAGCAAAGAGTGTTTTGCATGTGTGTTATTAGATGGCAGAACCGTCCTAATTCAGGATATCATTTCGTCAATTTCGAAGTACTAGTTGCACGTGCGTAATTCAGTTTGAAAACTCCGATGCAACTCGATTACTGCACAGAAGAGAGTTGGGGAGCAAAAAGATTTTGTGCGAATGATATACATAAAGGAATGTTTTCTGTTTATGGAAAGAAATGTTTGTTGCATAAAGCTCAACATAAATGAATCGAGAAATTTTTCTCAAGCTCGTTCCAAAGTTTTATGAAAACTAAAGCGCACATCTTGTTTAGATTGACACAAACTCATCAGCGCAAATGGTGGAGGTATTGATTCGAGAAATGTATTGTACACTAATAAGAATAACAATAACAGTATACCTTTTGGTCCATTATAAATTATCTTTAGAGGCAAGCGCTCTGCAGATGATAATGATATTCAAGATGAATTCCTAATTTAGTTGAAACAACTGCCCAAAGAACGTTTTCAGTTTTACTGTAGTATTGATATTGGGATGGGGAAAATGTAAAAATATTTATCAAGATTATGTTGAGAAATAAAACTAGTTTTCAGGTAAGTATTTCGTTAGGCTATTTTGTAATTGCCTTTTGCGACTTACTTATTGACTTCCTTTCATAATTTACATGAGTTAAACAGTCCACAATAGGGTTAATAAAAGAATTCGGATCATCCTACAGTGTGCCTCGGCAAGAGAGGAACTTCCGTTATATGTAAATCAGTTTTTTTAACCTGTTGAATAGCAAAAATTATGGTTTATGATCTGGAATTTAGGATATCACGAGATATGTTACCCATTCATATATTTATTTAAATTACGTATATATTGTTTTATTTCAAATGTTCATTTTAAACCAGTCCGTACTCATAATATTGTTTGCTTAAAGAATCTGCTATAATATTTTGGAAATATTTCTCACTTGAATGTTTAACGATGGATGATCATTTATGGATTATACATTTTATTTTTATGTTCAGGGATTGTGTAACAGGCATCTTCATAAATGGGATATAGAATACAGATTTAGAAAATTTATAATTTATAATTTTCTATCTGCCTTAACCATTTCTTCAAAATATTATTTTTTTACTAAATTGATGATCCTCTGCAACCTCAACATTTTCTCTCTCTCTCTCTTTCTTTCTCTATGTTTGAATCAGTTAGAGGTAACTGCCAAATTTTGCTTCTAAGGATATTTAAGTCTCTCTCTTCTGTACAAAAATGATCACCCAGTCATACTAACACCTACTTTTAAATATCTAAAGGCCTCGCTGAAAGTTTCCAGTCTAAAAAAAAGTAAGCTAAATGAAGCTGTTAAAAATTACAGCATTTAAAGTAAATGCTTACCTTTAGTATAGTCCTGGAGAGAAGTTGGTTTTTCTGTTGTTGAAGGGAATACTGATGTTGGTGACTCTGTAGTGCTCGTAATTGATGATGTGGTCTTCTGCGTTGTAGTTTGAGGCTTTACTGTTGAAATTCTGTGGACACTTGGAGTTGTACTAAAAAGGGATATTCTCTCTGTTGTTTTGCTAGTCATTCCTGGAAAAGGTGGGAAAGTGATTATTTCGCTAGCAGTTTCCTTGTTTAGTTCTGGCTGATAGTCTTCGGCAGGCGTTGTGCTTCGAGAAGGCCATGAATCTGTAGTTTGAGCTGATGAGTAGTATTGTGTTGAAATCGCCGTCGAAGAATAATGTGGCCGTATTGCTGGCCTTAAAGTGGTTGATGGTGTCACCGGCGAATAAGTAGGTCGCCTTTCTGGTATAGGCGTTCTACTTGACTGTGGCATTGGTCTTCGACTTGTTGTTTGTACTGTTGGTATCTCAGTTATTGGTCTACGAATGGTTGAGTATGTAATGGGTAATCGAGATGTAGTTCTGCGAGTGGTCGATTGTGTTATAGGTAGTCGACTTGTTGGTCTGCGGGTTGTTGATTGTGTTATGGGTACTCGAGTTGTTGGCTGTGTTACAGGTAGTCGAGTGGTTGGTCTACGCGTTGGTGACTGCGTTACAGGCAGTCGAGTTGTTGGTCTTCGAGTTACAACTGGTGGACGAGTAGCTCCGGGCAATCGCTTTGTTGTTGATAAAGTTGGAGTTCGAGTAGATTTCGTTGTGACACGACTAAATACTGGTGTAGTTAGTCGCGTCGCTAAAACTGTAAGTGGGCGCGTTGTTTGATCTAGAATGTTAGACCAAGTTCCAATGCGAACAGTAGTACTTTCTGTCGTTGGTTTTGATGTTGGTCTATGATATGGTCGAGTAGGTTTAGTTTTTCGTTGAGTGATATCAGAGAAAGTGCTGTTTGTGGTAGCGTAGGGTCTAGTTGGTCTTGTTTTTCTTTTACCACTTGTAACACCATATGGTCTCGTCGGCCTAGTTTTCCTTCGAGTTGAGGACGTTACAGCTGATGTTGACAGAAGGGTCGTCCTTCTGCTTGTTTGTATGGTTGGTTTTGGCCTGACAATTGGTTTTGACTTTGTAGTAGAACTTGCAAATAAAGGTTTGTTGGAGAAAAATTTTGTGGGTTTGACTTTCACTGGACCTCTGGTACTCACAGTTTCTTCCAATGGCCGCCAAGTCACCAAGCCAGGAGGAAATTCTGTGTGAGGAACTTTCGTTGGTCTGGAAGGTCTTGGGCGAGTTGAAATAGTTGAAACTCGTTTCTCCTCTAATTCATCAGAAGAAAATTCATACTTTGTTGTTGGTTTTTCAGTTGTAGTTCGCCGCGTACTTGGCCGCGGTTTGTGTTTTTGAGGGACTGTTACTTCATTGGATAAAACTGATGGCGGCGTAGCTATGTATACACCAGGCGGAAGTTTGCAACAGCTTCCAAAATAAAACCTGTCCATGCAATATGTTAGATGTGTCCCGTTAGACCGTTGACAGTTCCAAGAAAACATACAAACACCCTCTTCCTTTGTTGCAGGATCTTGGCAAGAATACGGTTGAATAACTCTGCTACCATCTAGAAAAAGACAAAGAAATTACAAAATGATGAGATTTAAGCAAGCAAACTGGAAGCTAATATATATGTAGTTATAACAAATTCAACCGTAATAATGTCTAGTTTGTACTACGTATTATTGAAATCTAGGTTACATATATATAAGGTAAAAATTTTTAAAAGAAAATTGTAACTTTCAATTGCAATAGTCTTTTAAATGCTCTATTTAATGGGATCATTTCCCTTTCTACTCTAAACATATTATGCGCTTATAATAAATCTCTTTAAATTGTGGCACTTCAATATTCGTCGGTGTGATATGATTCTAACATTTCGTTTTAGTCAATTATATTATTAAAATTTACATACTGAAACCTAAATTAACCAATAGGAATAAATTAGTGTGATAATAAGTGAAATAATAACTTAATATTTCTTCTCTTCCTCATCAACTTGCTATCACCTCTTCGTTAATGAACAGGCGAACTTAGTTTCAGTTTGGTTTTATATTTGCATCAATTCAATGGCAACAATAAAAGAAAATATTTAACCATTTATGACAGCTTCATTCCTTAACTCTCCATTTTAATTTGCCTATTTCACCCTTCTGTCCTAAAGAGAGTATTTGCTTATTATAAATCTTTCAAAATTGCATCATATCAAAATTTGTAGTTGTCATATAATTCTCACGTAGTGTTGCAGATAATTTACACAAGTCTTCAACCAATAATTTAGAAACTTAAATTTTAACCAATCAAGATAACGTAAACATAACCTAACACGAATCAAATTTGAACTCAACTTTCGTCTTGGACGTATTCCTGCTTTTGATTGCTGTTCCCCCTATGAACATACAATGGTGTATGTATCTTTTTTGTCCATCATAATATCGTAAGATCTAAACGTAGATGGGCGCCATCACGTAAGTCCGTAATAATATATACATAAACCGTAATTAAGACGGGCGCAAACTGTTCCCATTACAATGTATAATTCATATTAAGAATATGTTTCTCAGCAATAAAGAAAATGTGCTTAATCGGCCGTTAAGTCTAATATTTGACTACAGTTTCGTATTTATGCCTCTACACGACATCAACGACTATATCATCATACACACAAACAAACACACTTACACACATATATATAGATAAACAGACACTGTTGAAATGAAATGAGTTCGAAGGGAACTATGAAATAAATAACATACTAAAAGCTACAGTCAGTTTAATAGGAATCATACAAAATAGCTCTTTCTTCCCCTTTCATTAAATTTTTCTTGGATCTACCAGAACTCGATACACTAAAGTGTTAGAGAAAAAAAAATAAAAAAAATAATTTAATATATATATATATATATACGCATTTTCACATATCGATAAGTGAAATACGCATACTCAATGAAAATTTATTTCAAGTTACGGTTCTTACCTGTTGTAAGAAACAGAACTAATTTTTTAAAATAGCAAAATAACGTATCGTATAATTGAGCTGAATCACCTTGATAACGATCGCAAACTTCTAAAGAGAAAGAAGTTTAGGTACTTATGTATTATCGCTACTAACTTTGTAAAAAATCCCCAAACCTTCAGTATGCATCAAACTCTGATAACCACGCGCATAGCAATTATTCAGCCAATCATGCGCTTGACAAATATTCAATTTCCAAAGTCGACTTTTTCGTACGCGTTTTTCTCGTCTTCTAAGTTCCAACGGCTTTCATAGAAAAATTATAATTAATTTTTGTCTTAAACTCAATTTAAAAATTTTTAATTATTGGAGTTTCCTACAATAGTAGAAAAAGACATGAAACTTCTGCATGAATACATTATTTTGCCGCAAAATCGCTAAAAGAACAATGCTTCTAATTCTTTCTCGTTACGAATCGTTACGAAATTTCCACCACAACAAAGACAAAAAACCGTTTGTAACTAGGTTTATTGATTGTCTTTTGGTATAAATATATAGTTGAAATGTAGAATATGCATGTAATATATAATTTTTTAAATAAAAGCATGCTTTCTTTTCCCGTAAAATTCGCCAAACTATATCAATGTGGTTGAGATAATACGCAAGTACAGAATGTTATAACGAATGCTCACTATTACGAATAAGCATTTAATATACTGTTGTTAGCTCAGGACGTTTTCAAGCAGTCGTTCTAAGGAAATGGACGCTATAATGAGAAGTCGTTATAAAGAGCATCAATAATGTAAATTAATCAATTTATGTAAATTATGTGTAATGTAAATTATTCAGTTCAATAATGTAAACATTGTAATTAATTTTATGTGTTTGTGTTACATAAATCTTATTTAAATTTTGGGCTACCATGGCGAAAATTGAAATAATTTTTTCAGGCAACATTAAAGTTTTTTATCATATAATGTTAAGTAATTTGACCTGAATTTATGGATTTGAGTTACTAAAATTTCGTTATTAAAATTTTGAGACTGTCTATTCCTCAGTAGTACTAGCAGAGCTATTACTAATTAATTTTGAATAAATGATAAGAAAAGGGTATCCCAATGCTCAAGACTGCAGAAAGTTCCGCTAAAATTTGTTCGAAAAATTTCCTCATTATTACATAATCAGCTGTTACAGTCTCCTTCAATACTACAAAATAGCTCTTAAATTACATAGTCAATACCAGGTACTGTCGTATTTAATTTTGCATGCATTCTATATAATGTTAACTTATAACTTTTTAATTTTTTATGCCATAACTTGATAGCATAAGTGGAAGAAATGGAACTATTACTTGGTACTAACGCATTATCTCAACCACCGTAATAGAAATAGCCAAAGCTTCAGAATGCAGCAAACTCTGGTAATTAGGCGCATAACTCAATAAATAATCATGCGCATGGCAAATATTCAGGCAATCATGCGCAGGCAATAATGCGCATGTCAAATATTCAATTTCCAACGTCGCCATTTTCGTATGCGTACCTTTTGTCCCTCCAGCGGCATTGTAGAAAAATTATAAATATTTTTTGTTGTTGTTGTCTTAAGTTGATTTTAAAATTTGTGCTTGTAGGAATTTCCTATAACAGAAGAAAGGTGAAATTTCTGCAGGAATATATTATTTTATCGTTAAATCGCTAAAGAAGCAACACTTCGAATTCTTTCTCAAAGCAATCACTACGAAATTTCCACCACAATAAAAACAAAAACCTGTTTGTAACTAGGCTTATTGATTGTCTTCTAGAATAAATATATATTTGAAACACAAAACAATATTTATATACGTAATATATAATTTTTTACAATGAAAGTAATTGCTCTTTTTCTTTGGTAAAATTCGCCCAACTGCGCCATGGTGGTTACGATAATATAGGTAAGTATATTTTACTTTTTGTTTAGATAAACATGATAGCGGATACGTTCATGTGGTATTTTTCATTGGGGTTGATACATTAACCGATAGAGGAAGAGATGAATTTCTTAGACTGTTTCTGTTTTTTCTTTCATCTTGAAACAGACCTATACAGTGCGTTAGTAGATAATGAAAAGATAATTTTTATTAAATTAGTACCTCAGTTCCATTCATTATATAGTTCGCCTTGGGTTCGATTCCAGGCGAACGGACGGGCTACATGGGGATTTCTCCTCTCCCCCCCCCGTGTAACGTAGGGTGCCAGCCAGTTTCCCTTAGAAAATCCTCCATGAAGACACGCCTCCTCTTAAACAGATAGCACTAGAGTGGTTTGCTATAATCATATATACCGAATCAAATCTTGCTGCCCAGAAAATGTGTAACGTGGATACAAGCCATTGCGCTTGGAAAGTGCTCCCCGAAGCCATCCCTCCTCATATGTAGATAGCGTGCTTTGCCAAAATCAACTACATCAAACTGAAGCATATTTACAAAATAATTTAAATACTTTGGAAGAACGAAAATTTTCTTAGATCTTAAATATTAAATTTTCGAATACGTTGTAAAGAAAATGCTTTGAATTTTTTTCATTGCGATATTGTTTTATCATTTCTTCGAACGTTGCTAAAATTAAATAAGCTTTTCAGTAAATTAGATATTTTCTTTGGGAATCAGAAATCAGTTTATCGCCAAAGCATTGTGAATTAAAATATATGAATAATTATGGCTTATTCCTTATGTTTTTAATTAATTTAAAAACATAAGGTAAAACTTATGTTTTTAATAATTTAATTATGTTTTAATTAAAAACTTAAATTAAAAACTTATGTTTAATTTAAGTTTAAATTAAGAAGTTATGTTTAATTAAGTTTAAATTAAAAACTTATGTTTTTAATAATTTAATTATGTTTTTATTTTTGCAACTGTCCTCTCAGAGAAGTCACTTGAAGCTGCAGAGGCAAACACTTCAAAAATAAAAAATAAATAAACAGAGTTTTGAAGAACATCCCGTTTATCAAATACATTTTGAAAGACGCTCTGCATGTGATTTTCATACTAACCTCTTTAAATCCGAATTAAGAAGGAAGTAGATTCATGCAGAGAGATGATTTAAAAGAATTTACATTTCAAATCATGAATCATTACGACGATAAATTCATTTTGATTCCGGGACACAAGAATACATAATTTGCACATCATTTCTCAGAAGCGACTCTTCAGATATTTTTCTCATTAGAATTAGAATGCAATCTTCAAACATTTTATCGCTGGCAAGTGTTGTGTTCAAATTCTTTGCCGGTAATGCACCACACGCGCAACCTAATTTCCACCGATGCAAACAGCCATTTGTCGATCGTTGCGTGTTTAGATACGATTTAGCCGTCAGCAGCACGCGGTTAACAAAGCGGTCGGTATTGCGCAATGAGATGAATGACACAAAAACTCGCTCTATCAGTGTAGACAGTAAAAACCCGAGAAAAAGTATGCGGAAACGTACTTCCGCTGCAGTGAGGCACACCTGACCTCTAAAAACGGTGGCCGTGATGCATAGGTCATTCACCTGAATTGCTTGTTACGGCGTTGCACGATTGCCATTTTGCTTTGTTTCTCTCTTTTTCACAGAGCTATAAAGCGCGCCAAA